TCAACCTAGAATTATATATAAAACAAAGTCAAGACCAAAAGGATAATGAAATAAACATATTTTCAGAGATGCGAAGACTCTAAAATTAATTCTCAAATATCTCTTTACAGAAGGTTATCTGAAGATGTAATGTAATAAAATAATGGAAGAATGTTTTTAAAAAAGAAAGAAAGAAACACACGGAATTCAGGAATAGATTTATCCAACATATGATGGGCATGGAGAGAAATCTCAGGTGACAGCCATGCAGGAGGCCTTCCAATTCAGATGGAAGGCTCCAGAACTGAAGAGAATGCCTAAGTGGATGTTTTGGTTTTTTGTTTTTTTTTTTCCAATTTAAGAAAATGCTACAGAAAACAGTGTCAAAAATAAAAAGGTCAATTAAAACCTTTTAAAAGGCTGTTAATGAAAGGAAATGTAATCATAGTAAACTACAAAGGTATCCTATGAACAAGTTTCACTGTTGTAATAAGAGAAGCAGTACACAGGATTTCTAGATTCTAGAATTAACCCATAAACAGCACATAAAATTTAATTATGGTTTTAAGTCAATTTATAACAAAACATAAATGTTTTCAGTTTTGAAAATATAAAAGCCAGAATACAGATGAGAGAATTTAGAATGTAAGAAAGGCAAGGGGAAAGGGTGTGAGTGCCAATATTTTTAGTTTATAAAGTGTGGCGTCGAGCAGTATTAAGAAATATACATAACAAAAAAAGTCTATTACTTATAAAAAATCAATATTAATAAATGTTAATAAATGATTAATAATTATTATAAGGAGCTCTGGTGGTGCAGTGCCTAAGGCATTTGACTGCTAATCAGAAGGTTGGTGGTTCAAATCCACCAGCTGCTCTGAGGGAAATGAGGCAATCTACTTCCATAAGATTACTGCCTTGGAAATCCAATGGGGTCACTATGAGCCGGAACTGATTCGATGACAATGTTCCATTTTTTTTTTTTTAATCACTAATATAATAATCTCATTTCAGGAATTAAAACACAGGTAGGAGAGGTATTATGAGCAAAAAATCTACATCTAGTATAACTAATCACCAAATGTCTAAAACTGATAAACAATAGTAAAATAACATGTAAATACATGGAAGAACTACTGGAAAAAAACAGTTAA